TCCCTCTGTCCCCCCCCATCTTCCCCTCTGTCCGCCTCCGTCATCCTCTCTGTCCGCACTCCCTCTGTTCCCCCATCCCCTCCCTCTGTCACCCTCCCCGTGCTGGGCCCCAGCCCTTCAGACCCTCTGGGGCCCCCCAGCCCACCTGGACTCGGAGGGCTTCCATGGTGTCCTGGGCCTCCTGAAGCCGGCTCTGGAGCTCCACCAGGGCCTCAGCTTCTCCCTGCTGGCGCGGGGCAGGAGCAAGGTGGGCTGTGGAGCTGGGAGGGAACTCGGGGTGGGGGGCAGGCATTCCGACGGCCCCACTTCCCAGATGGGGAGGTCGGAGGGGCAGGCCAAGCATGTGTGAGCCCACACCACTCAACTGCATATGGGGCTCCATCCTCCAAGTCCCTTTGCTCTCCTGGGGTCAGGCACTCAGAGGGGCCCCGGGCAGGGGGTTCTCCCAGGAGCATCAGTTTCTGGTTGGCACTGTCCTGCCAGGCCATTCCAGGGCTCATCTACAGACCTGGGGCCAGGGCACTGAAAGGTTAAGAGGCCCCCTGCTGATCAAGCCTGAGGCCCTGGGGGAGCTTGGGTAGTAGCTGCTGAGGAGCGGGGTACCTGAGGGTCCCTGGAGGGGGGTCCAGGCCCCCAGTGCAGTAGGAGTTCCCGCATTAGGCTTAGGCTCTGTTTCAGGGCCTCGTTCTCCAGAGTAAGGTGCTGAACCCTCTTCTCTGAGTCTGTCGCCCCCTGGGGGAGAGGGAAACCCTCAGTGCCTCACCTGAAAGTCCTGCCCCCTCACGCCCCCCTCTCCACACCCCAGCAGCCTCACCACACTCAGGCGCAGCCGGCCCAGCTCCTCCTCCTGCTGTTCCAGCTGTTGCTTCAGCTCTTCCAGCTGGTGATTTGGAAGGGGGACAGAGTGGAGCACTTCCTTGTGCCCCCACCCCCATCCCTGCCGGCTCCTGGGCTCTCACCTGTCCCAGGATGAGCTGCTCCAACCGATGCCAAGCCCTCTGTTCCTCCTCTAACTGGGGGGGCTGCTGCACCTGGGTCTCACCCCGTGATGCCTCCTCCGAGGCTGTGGCAGGGTGGAAAGGGCTTTCTTCTCGGGATGGGGATCCTGGGGTGGGGTGGGCCCAGTTAGGAATGAGGAAGTCTCTGTCCTGAAGGAGGGGGTACCCTGGGAGCAGGGCTCAGGACCCTGACCTCCAAGCTGCCCAGGTCTGTGTGGCTTTGCTCCCTCCATAGGGTTCCTTTCAACTCAGTACCCCTTACGTACTATCTGGAGTGGGGGGCTGTACCCCCGCGGCTGGCTGAGTCCGCTGGAGCAGGGCCTGCCTTCCTCTGGGGCCCCAAATCCATGCCAGGAGGGTCAAGAGCTGACTGGTCACTGTCAACAGTGGAGGGGCCTCAACGGGCTGTAGAAGATAAGACCAGGGCAGGGACACTCTGGGGGAGTGGGCCAGGGCTGGGGAGAGAGGATGGGTCTGGAGGCAAGAGGGGGGGTGATTCATAGGAAAGAAAAAACTTCCTGAAGGAGCTGTCAGTCTTTTAGGGGCTGGGGGTCAAAAGCAGGAGTGGGCGCACAGTAAATATGGAAGTTCTTAGGGGATGAGGTCACAGGTGCAGAGAAGGGTCAGGAGAATGCGGAGTAAAGGGGGGACGGGGACCCTCAGCCCTGCTCACCTTGTCCACGTCAGGAGGGTTCCCGCAGCCCTCTTCCGCCCCCAGGTGGACGGAGAGGAATTCAGCAAGGCGCGTGAGAGCCTCTTCCAGGGAGACCTCGGCCGGACGGCCCTCGACTGCCTCTCCCAGCCCATCCTCGGACTCGGAGCAGCCTGCGGGGCCAGGGAGTGAGAGGGTGAGGCACTCCAGGTCACGTGCAGGAGGCCCGGCCGCCATCTGTCACCTGCCGTGTCCCTCCCTCCCAATGAGGTCACGGCGCCCTTCCCTCTCTAGGATGGCTAGTTCCCGCATGCCCCCTCAGGCGCAGTGCTCCCAGCCCGCAGAGCACCTACCAGCCAGGCAGGTCAGCTCGGTCCACAGGTGCGGCGTGGGCTGGCCGGGGCAGCGGCGGCCTTTGGAATGGCAGCGGGCACTCTGGGGGGGGGGGGAGGCAGAGGAGCCCCTAAGGAGGGGGCAGGCAGCCTGCGGGGCTCCCTCCCGGGACTGGCCCAGAGGGGTTGGGACCGAGGTCTCCGGCTTCCAACACCTGAACAGATTCGGAGTTCTCATCACGGCGCCCACTCCCAGCGGCAGAGCCCGAGGATGCAGGCTGCGTGGGCCTCCCAGGACCCCATCTGTCTCCCCAGCGGAGCGCAGCGCCAGCTCCTGCTACCTGGGTGGAGTCCCTGGGGTCCGCAGCCGCCGCAGTCCTGCCATCCCTGCGGAAGAGGCTGTAGAAGATGTAGATGAGCAGCGAGTAGAAGGCGTACATGGGAGCGCGGGGCGACAGAGGGCCCCCGTTTCACGCCGCCCCGCGTCCCCGCGCCCGGATCCGCACCCGCCCGCAGCAGCGCCGATGCGCATGCTCGGCCGGCCGCCCCCAAGGCCAGCTCCCGCGCAGCAGAGGGGCGCGGGGAGAGTGCCCGGAAACGGTGTCCGGGAGCCTCACCCCGAGGGCCTGTCCACCTCACAACCCCATCCCATGCCCCCCATCCCTACATCGCGGAGACCTCCGGCTGAGAGCGCCCATGGCCTCGGCCCCCGCCCCCTCCTTTCCGAATCCCCCCTCTGCGGAGACCCCGCCATTGCTCGGCTGACAGGTGAGCTACCTTCTCTGCTGGTCCCCTCCTCCCAGCCCTGCCCAGCCCTTCCCCAGACCCCGCCCCTCCTCGTAGCTCCGCCCAAGACACCTCCCCTCTGCCCAGCTTTGCCCCAGGTGACAAGGTCCCACCTCTCACAGCCCATTCCCCTGCCGCCTCCTCTCGAAATCCCCGCGCCTGCCCTTCGCGGAGAGCCCCGGTGCTCTAGATTTCTAAAGCCTTCTGTTGACAGGTGTGCTACCACCTCCTCTCCTCACAGCCCCGCCCCAGGCCCCTCCTCTACTCCCAGCCCCACCCCTACCCCGCCTCTTCTCCCAGCCTCTTCCCCAGACCCCTTCTCTCCTCACAGCCCTGCCCTAGGCCCCTCCTCTCCTCCCAGTTCCTTCCCCAGACCCCTCCTCTC